TATATATATATATATATATATATATATATATATATATATATATATATATATATATATATATATATATATATATATAAGATTTTTTATGCAAACAGAGCATGTATATGATGCAGATATTCCTAATGCGTAAAATTTCAATCCTGCCGTTTTTGTCTAGTTTTTTTTTTTACAAAATGTGCTTTATACCAATATATAAACTTAAGTTCAGTTTAAGTTCAATAGAGTGATAAATTATGTGATGGATATACTTGTCACTTGTGACAAAGCTCCAGTAACTTGTAAATATTAAACAAATAAATAGCATTTCTCGCATTCTATAACCTATAGAAAACTATAACCCCAAAAAGGCGACATTTTATCATTATTCTATTCATTGTAGTTTCCTTCTCCCACTTTTGCCGAATTTCAGCTTTTCACAAGAACTGGCATGGCCGTGATTTGCAAGTGGGAGGGTCACGGGCCGGGGGTATTTGATAAGCAGTAAGTATAATTAAATGTACTTACTTTCATGCGTGAAAGTTTCAAAATATTATTGCGTTTGTAATTTATCTCGTTCTGAAATATATTTCTAGAGGAAGTATAAATAGCTTTCTACGTTAACTTTACCTACTGAAGAACATTCAACTCCAGCGTCCTCACTATGCCCGCAATTTTCATTTCCCCAACCAGAATGGAGACAGTCACTCAAACTTTGTTCACTCCCAGTGCAGCGCACGTCATCTAACCATATCTGTCCAGAACCATCAGGAACCTGACTTCCTTGAAGAGCTCTAACACCATATTTATATCCAAGTTGACGGCATACAACTCTAGCATCTTTTATGTCCCAATCATCATCACAGATCGTTCCCCATTGCCCATTGTATAATATTTCCACACGACCAGTACCATTAATAGTTGATGGTCCTTGTAACCTGAGTGGAATGGCTGTAATGCAAATGAAATCAGCAAAATTGAAGGTGCCAAGTGAGATAAAAAATAATCGTGCATGGTTTCCTATGTATCTAAACATTCGGGAGATTTTATATAGTGCAACACTGTACATGTTTTCAAGAGGAATTAATTAAAGCATTCATTAAAACGGTAAAAAATGTATTAAGAAGGCTAAGCGAACACTATAAACAACACGAGATTAATTAAAATAAGAACTATATGTACCCACGGTAATATGTACTAAAATTTAATGGTATTTTTTTTCCATTAACACGAACATAAACCAGGAAAATACAAACAGGGCGTTAGCCAATTGCGTTAGTGACCTATTCCAGAACAAATGCAACAAAACACACACGGAGAAGGGGTGCCAAACCATTCTTAGAAAATGGATAAGATTCCAAATTTTGAAATATATTATGTAAATATTGGATAAATTTGGCGGAAAGATTCATGCAGGAAAGGTGAAAGAAAACAGGCAGGTTTATTATTTTTCTTTTCCTCGTACACCCTGAGCCCCCCTCACCGCCAACATTTCCAGGAAGAATTTTTAGGTGAGTTCGTACTAGAGACTATAAATACATAATAATTATTATGATATGTGAGAATATATAGAGTAGATAATAAGAACTGATCTAAAAACTGCACTCTTCATGAGATAAAATGAATTATATTACAATTGCAAATGAACTAGTGTGTGCTAAAAGCAACATAATTATCTTTACGCTTTGTTATTAATATGTAATGTAATGTAGAACATTACAGTGCCCTGGAGCAGGCGCAAAACAGCAAGTTGGCCCTTAAATTAGTACATCACAAGCGCAAAGACATACTATATTTGAACTGATTAAATACTTAACAAATATAAAACATTTTCCGTGTTGATATACAGTTATATCAACACGAGTGGAAATTGGGAAAACGAGAAATTGTGTGGAAACACGACGCCCGAAGGGCGGAGTGTTTTCACACAATTTCGAGTTTTCCCAACTTCCACGAGTGTTGATACAACTATATATCATTCCTTAAAAAATGTTTTATATTTGTTTTATAATATAGCAATGTCAAAAGCCCGAAGAATAAAAAAAATTTCCGTGTTACAAGCGGCGGAAAATTTCCCGTGTTGACATGGAGTTATATCAACACGGCTCTTAGCCAATCAGCGTTCAGAATTTACAAATGCTATATTATAAAAAGGTTTATGATTCCAAACAAGGTAACAGATTAACAAATCAATATGCAGATGTATTTTGTTATTTGAAAGACAGTATAGACATGTCCAATTGATAAGTCTTATTACTTAAATTAAACGTAGAATTAACAAGAACTAGCCTAGATATCTATTTCAGTCTATGGAATAGTTTTAATTTCAGCATGTTTTCACATATGAGAAGTCTGGGACCTAGGAAAGCCCCTCATTGTGCCTGTAAAGTCATACTTACAAAATGCCATCCCAAGATTGATGCAGTATAGGATGCAGTACAGTCTGGTGTGCACATTGTAATTTCCAGTGCGAATGGATTGTACCACATCCTCATCTTTAACCCAATAAAGCTTAGTACAGTTGAGCAAGTTTCCCTTGACAAGTTTTATTTGCTTTTGTCTGCAGCAAAAAAGGACATTTTTTCCTTGCTAATGAGCCTTGTTCCAATGCTAGTTATGTCATGTCAACTTTTGGAGATAAATGTTTAACAACATTCCATGCAGACAAGAAACAAAACTTATCACGGGAACCTTGTCTAGGAAAACTTCTTTATCATACACACAAGAAGGCAAACTTGTCATTAACATAAACAGGTATTACGAATATCACTGATTCTTATGCTAAACACTGTGCCTTTGGACCCATTATATCATTATCAGGTACGCAAGCTTTCCCAGTGTTGTTTATATATTTGACAAACTCTCCCTCAATAAACTCCTCCAGGGTTACACACTCTTCATCAACCATGGCAACTGGGCATGCCACGCCAGTAAACCTGCATCTATTTGAATAATGCAAATCATTAGAAACTTGCATAGCATGACTTGTTGCTATGGCTAGCTTCACCACTGGCAGTGTTATATTATACATGCAAAAGCAAGAAGTTATATTAAACGTTGAGAAGGTATTCATATAAAACTGCCCATGCCAATTGCAAGAAAGTAGAATTAAAAGAGTTAGCTGACCTTCAACCTTGTGCAAGGTGTTTGATATTTAAATTGCACTTTTCCTACCTCCTAAACAGGCGTCGTAGGGTGTTTACATGATGGAATGATTTTTGATGTGTTGGAATAAGTCACTAGGTTAAACAAAAGTTTAAATGCTGGTTAACAGAATTCAAATATTGAAGAGAAGATCTTGTAGTTCAAGAGGATTATTATTGCTGCTTGAACAACCTTTCGTTTACAGTTAACTATAATCTATGTGTATCTCTAGAGAATAATGTTTTTTTTTGCTGAATTTTTCACTGTGACTCATTTCAATACATCGAAATCATCCTGCCTCATATCTCGTCCTGGCAAAGCGGGATCGTATAAACAGCCCATTATTCAGCAAAATGTGCATGGTACCATCCCTTGGGGGTGAGAAAGCACTTTTCTTGCGATTTAAATTCTAGTAATATGTATAGTGCTTAAATTAACGAATTCCATACATTTAGACTTACTTTCACCTATCGTTAAATTTGTGTATATATAGGCTTCTATTATCGCAGAATATATAGGTCTCTACAGAGTGTCTATAATTGTTTTATTGCCAATATTTGCGGTAATAATATGTCGATTAAGGAAGGATTCATTTTTTAGCTGGGGAGGGGGGTTGGGCCGGAGGAATTTGGGGGTGGGTCAGCCAATTTTGACATGCTTCAAAGGGGTGGGTCTTTTTATAGTTTTGGTATAAATGGAGGGGGTCATAAAAATAATCAGTGAAAAAATCACCAATAAAATTTTATAGAATTTGGAAATATTTGGATCAAGAATGGTAAAAAAGTCTACAAACTATCAACTATCTCGTCATCTTTAACAATGAAGAAAAATTCATTTGATGCTCTGTTCACACAGTCCATAGGAAAACATTTCCATGACGTTCGTCAATTGACCTCGTTTTTATCCGTTTTTGTGTGAAAACATGAATGAAAGATTTCAAAATCATGCATGGTTTCAAGGTCTGCATGATTTCAAAATCATGCATCAATTTTAAGCTTTATTAATTTAAGCAGCTACATTATCCATGACAAACTGCAAAGAATGAAGATAGTACCCACAGTTTCCTGCAACGTATCCTAGTTATCCAATATATAGTTAATTAAATACGCCTTCGCCCATTTAGTACTACCAAATTGTCAATTTCGACATACTAAAACGCTGTTTTCTGACCATCAGAATTCTGTCAAATCTTCCCCAAAGTCCAGGAAATGGCATTTCAGAGACTCTAGATTTAAAAATTTCCTCGGGCCTTCGGCCCTCGCTTTCAGCCCCCCAATCAAAAAGAACTTCCTACGGCCGTGAACCGCTACGGAAACGACACCGTGTGGATTATGAAAAGTTGGGATGAGAGGTCAAAAAATTTTTCAGTAAAAAAAATAGGGGGGCATAATTTTTTATCAACTTTTCTCTTGGGGGTTCCAAGTTTTAGCATGGAATTAAACATCAGTTCCTCCGCCCCCCCCCCCCCAGCTAAAAAATGAATGCTACCTAATTCGCAAAAACGGATATGTTATTTTGTTGTAAGAAACTTTTACGTCATCATAAAACTAGATATCCTACATCGGTGGCTAAAAACGACATTCTGTCGACTATACTGTGTATGGTTCGGGAAAGGAGACTGGCGCGAGTTTCATAGATGGATTTTGGTGCATTATACTACTAGAACTGCATATCACCCACCCTATAGCCCTAGGCTCTCTCTCGCGCGCGCGCTTACTATGCTTGATTCATAGAGGTACGAAGTTGTATTTGTGGTGGGAGAGAGATAGCTGTGTGGAAGGGACGGCGCGGGAACACCTTGGACGCCTTACAGCACCATGCGCGGTGATCTAATGACATCTCACAACTAATGACGTCATAACTAAGCCAGTTTTATCGGTTCGTTTTTCGTTGGTGAAAGCTGCAGAACGACTAGGCACTAGGCTGCATATCACCCTCCCATCGCCGATTATAAGAGAATGTTAGACTATCTATTAAAGTCCCTTAATTATATTGAAATCAAAGGTCAGTATCCAATTTGTGGAATCCTGTTATCAGGAGATTTTAATCAAACAGTGATAAAAACAAGAGACACCCGACCGAGTGGAAAACAAGAACGAGGAAGATTTTTAAATTCTATTAATTTCCGGTCTGTTATCGTGTCTAAACCTTTACATGCGGAAAATAATTTATCCACAAATTTTATTAATACAGGTCTTAACATCCTAATGCAAATTAAAGGAAAGAAAGTCCATATTAACGATCCACCCTGGATTACTGCTGACCTTAAGAGATGTTATATAAAATGCCGTCAACGAGCATTTCATAAGAAAGCTAGACTTGTATAGATTTTACTGTAATCGTGTTAATTAAAACTGAACGGGAAAAGTGTCGAAGTAGGTATTATCCTAGCCTGCTCGCAGCCCGAATTTCACTAAAAGTAAAATATCTAAAAGAGTCTAAACCATCTCATTAGTGGAAGTAAGTAAGAGCAATTTCGGGTATGGTTGCAGCCTCAGAAGCAGAAAAATTGTTCGATCAATTACAATTGAACCAAACTGAAAACGATTCGCTTGAAAATATTGCACACCGTATATGAATGAAGCTTTCTTAAATCCATTGCTCCAGTATGAATCTTCTAGCGCCAGTGATACTTGTGATACAGATGACCAATCTTCGAATTTCTCTTTGGTTTTAAATACTGAATTTGAGGTTTATATTGAAGTTCTCGGTAACTTAAATCCGCGGAAAGCATCCGGTTCTGACGAAATTCCGAACTGGCTCTTTGAGATTATGCTGAACTTTAAACCATACCAATTTGCTCCATACTAAATAGTTCTTACCAGGGAATGAAGCTTCCTACTATCTGGAGGTTTGCCAACGTCACCCCTATATATCAACCTCCTTCCCAGGGCTGGGGACGAGGTTGCCCTATATACCTACTCAAACCGGTTACTAACATTAAATAAACACCTCCGACCAATTTCCTTAACATTGACGATTTCAAAAGTCGCTGAGGAATTTGTTGTGACGAGGTACATCGCTCCAGCAATCTTAAAAAATCCTTTAAGGTTATCCCAGAGCCTCACGTTCCTTCCCGAGGATCGCAGGCTCGGGGAACGAGATTGTCACCGCTGCAGAAGTACCATCCGTAGCTTTTTCCCATTCATGAATCATGGAGATCAGAGCTTCAGTGGTTGAGGATTTAGGAATAGCACCAAATTGGTTAGAACCAATTGCGTTGCGCATTCCATATCAACGGCCAATCAGATTCCTCCCTGAAACGGTTTATCCCAGAGCCTCACGTTCCTTCCCAAGGATCACAGGCTCAGGGAACGAGATTACAGCGGTGAGAATTGTGCTATATGACTATACCAAGTTTTTTATTTACCATGCAGGCATCTAGACATACCTATCAGTCTAGACATACCATGCATATGAAATATTTTGTTATGTTAGAGATTTTCTTACAGACAGATATCAAAGAATAAAGAGCTCGAACGATTCATCGAGACGTTCCATCAGGTTTGCCACAAGACACTAAGTTGGGGCCTTGGCTCTTTTTGTTGATGAATAACGATTTAGAAGTGAGAAATTTACCAACCTAAAAGTTCGATATGATGATGACATTACTGTTTCCAAAATAGTCCGGCAAAAGGAAGTGCCAGTTAAATACAATAACATGTCAAAGAAATTGAGAGTTGATCATCTAAGAATAAGTTACAACTTAATTCTGATAAATGTAAAGAACTCGTTATCGACTATAAACAACTGAAAAGACAAATTTGATCCCATATTAATAAAAAATGAGTATATTATTGGCGTGAGTATATAATGAGTATAATGAGTGTATATCTCATGATCAGTAGCCTATATTTATGGCGTTCCATCACCGCCAAAAATCAATATTGCAATTCGACTTTTAATATGGGGAATCGACATTTAATTTTGCCCATAATTTTTTCATACGGCTTTTGGCAATTGTTTACCACACAAACATTTAACGACTTTCCTGCACGCAACGATGAACTTGATGGAAAAGTCTAAATATGAAAAGTTGCGATTTGCTATACTGAAAGTTGCGATTTGCACAGTTGAAAGTTTCGATCTGTTAAATTCGAAGTTGCAATTTGTCAAGTTGAAAATTGCGATTTGTCAAGTTGAAAATTGCGATTTATCAAGTTGAAAATTGCGATTTGTCAAGTTGAAAATTGCGATTTGCCGCCGCTTGTATAAAAGCCGCCAAAATTACGTCATACAAACTTTGTCATAATGACGTCATTTTGAAATACTTGGAATCTTTGAATCTTTCTTTGTCGTGTCAAATTGACAAATTCATCATGGAGGAGGAATTGCAAGCCGTGAAAAATTCGCTTACTCGTGTGGCTGACACTCTAGAACGAATCGAAAGTTCTCGTTCTGGCCCAGGTATGTCAAACTTCTTTGAATGGTGTCAACATTAATGTTTTGTAGATGAATATGGTTTGATTTATTAATATAAATACGAAGATGAATCATTTAATTGTGCCTTTATATCATTTGGCGGTTTTGCTGGCACATGGCGTGATATGGCAGCAAATTGTTGTTTATATTGGTGTTGTCTAAATTCGTTCAATCGTTCATTCATTTCTGCCAGCCAGCATTACAGCACATTACAGCAAAAAGTAAACAAAACAAGTCACTCATATTCAACAATATTTTATTCTATTGTTGTGCATATTGAACTTTTTAAATTATGTTGATTTTGCTGTGTTGGTGTAATGTACTCAGGTGAATAAGATGCTTGTGATGTTACTCTGAGTGTATATCCATACTGGGCAGGCTTGACAAATATGCCTGGCTGCGGTAGGAATCGAACCCACGACCTTTGGAATACTAGCCCACTGCTCTGCCAACTTAGCTACGCGGTCAGGTCGGTACGAGTACGTGATATTACCAATTACACCAACACAGCAAAAGCATGATTATACACCAACACAAATCGGACTACACCAACACAGCAAAATCATGATTATTAGATTACATTGATATCGAAGGAATTAGACTCAGTTCCAAAATATCACGTACTCGTACCGACCTGACCGCGTAGCTCAGTTGGCAGAGCAGTGGGCTAGTATTCCAAAGGTCGTGGGTTCGATTCCCACCGTGGCCAGGTATATTTGTCAAGCCTTCCCGGTGTGGATATACACACAGAGTAACATCGCAAGCTTCTTATTCACCTGAGTACATTGCACCAACACAGAAAAATCAACATAATTTAAATAATTCAATATGCACAACAATAAAATAAAATATTGTTCAATATGAGTGACTTGTTTTGTTTACTTATTGCTGTAATGCTGGCTGGCAGAAATGAATGAACGATTGAACGAATTTAGACAACACCAATATAAACAACAATTTGCTGCCATCACGCCATGTGCCGGCAAAACCGCCAAACAATATAAAGGCACAAATAAATTATTAATCTTCGTATTTATAATCAAACCATATTCATCTACAAAACATTAATGTTCACACCATTCATAGAAGTTTGACATACCTGGGCCAGAACGAGAACTTTCGATTCGTTCTAGAGTGTCAGCCACACGAGTAAGCGAATTTTTCACGGCTTTCAATTCCTCCTCCATGCTGAATTTGTCAATTTGACCACAGTTATTTTAATCGATGGTTTGGAGACTCGATGAAAGTACAATACAACTCATTAACTATGTTATTGTCCAGCTTTATGCAAGAATTTGGTCCTATCTCGTCACGTGTGTATTGTATTTTCGCTCAAATAACCAATAATAAGTTTGTGGTTTAGTTTATCCATCCGTAACTTGAACAAATGCTCAATTTAAACATTGCTATTGGTTGTGCGGGAAAAAATACAATACACATGTGACGAGATAGGCCCAAATTCTTGCATAAACTGAAACCAACATAGTTAATGAGTTATATTGTACTTTCATCGAGTCTCCAAACCATATATTCTATTAACTGTGATTTGACAGTCAAAGAAAGATTCAAAGATTTCAAGTATTTCAAAATGACCTCATTATGACAAAGTTTGTATGACGTAATTTTGGCGGCATGTAGTAAAACACTGACTACCGGAACACCGGAACACCACCGGAACACCGGAACACCACCATTTTGTTTGGGGTTAGGGTTTGGGGTTAGGGTTAGGATTGGGGGTTAGGGTTGGGGTTAGGGTTAGGATTGGGGGTTAGGGTTGGGGTTAGGGTTAGGTGGTGTTCCGGTGGTGTTCCGGCGGTGTTCCTGCGGTGTTCCGGTGTTCCGGTAGTCAGTGTTTTACTACATGCCAATTTTGGCGGCTTTTGTACAAGCGGCGGCAAATCGCAATTTTCAACTTGACAAATCGCAATTTTCAACTTGACAAATTGCAACTTCAAATTTGACAGATCGAAAGTTTCAACTGTGCAAATCGCAACTTTGATATATTTGATATTTAGATTTTTCCACCAAGTTCATTGTTGCGTGCAGGTTAGTCGTTAAATGTTTGTGTGGTAAACAATTGTCAAAAGCCGTATGAAAAAATTATGCGCAAAATTAAATGTTGATTCCCCATATTAAAAGTCGAATTGCAATATTGATTTTTGGCGGTGATGGAACGCCATATATATTGGCATGGTACATCATGCCAAAATTTTAGGCCTTACATAGTGTCAGACACTCAATGTCAACGAAGTGATTAATTTAAAAAGGCTATTTATTATTTTTTCTCGTTCAATTTAAACGAGCTAATATTCCGGCAAAAGATCTTATAAATTTCCACATTACATGTACAGTGTGTCCCCCAAAAAAGGCTATCCTTTGAAGTCAAGCGCTAGTGCCGCATGTTCGAATTTGAATGCTTTAACTCCCTAATGAGTCCTGGAATGCGTAAAACGTTATACTGTACGTAGTCAATTATATTCATGCATCATTCCGTGTTATTTTAGCGGAACAAATTTCAATTAATTTGCAATGCATGCATAAAAATGCTCTGCTATAACGTTTTACGCATTCCAGGGCTCATTAGGGAGTTAAAGCATTCAAATTCGAACATGCGGCACTAGCGCTTGACTTC